AGTATGCTTAGAGTGAAATGGAGGAAGTAACTAAATGGGGACTAAAAATTGGCCTTTACTTTTAAATAATTTGTTATAAATCTTGGCAATAAAGATAAATTGATGTTTTAAATGTCTTGTATTTAGTCTTTCAATTTGTTTTCGTGTTATTCTTTGGGGTGTGGGAGGATTAGTTCCTAATTCTATGACTTGGAGTTCTTCAGTAATAATTGACCACTTTTTTTGTTTGTTTTTTGAGATAAAGTTTCTCTGTGTAGCTTTAGAGCCTGTCCTGGATCTCGCTCTGTAGACCAGGCTGGCCTCAAACTCAGAGATCCGCCTGGCTCTGCCTCCCGAGTGCTGGGATTAAAGGCGTGCACCACCACCCAGCTAACTGACCACTATTAAAGAAATGGAAATAGGTAGTAAATGCTTATGACCAAAAGTTTAAAAGAATTGGAAATAAAGATGACAGAGTGATGCTATAACCATTTATTAAGGGTATTTGCAAAAGTTCTTATGTAGTTTTACATAACCAATTATTCATGATGTGTAGTTATCACTGTAAGTATACAGTTCTGATCATTAACAAAAAAAAAATTTTTTTGTTGGAGACAGGGTTTCTCTGTGAAACAGGCCTTGCTGTCCTGGAACTTACTGTGTAGACCAGGCTGGCTTTGAACTCACAGAGATCCGCCTGCCTCTGCCTCTTGAGTGCTGGGGTTAAAGGTGTACGCCACCACTGCCCAGCTCTCATTAACAGAAATCTTAGAGGTTGAAAATATAGCAACTCAAAAGTACCATAGTTCCTGTAGAACAAAATAGGAAATTTTGTCACTTAAAACGGGGAGGAAATTAAATACACATTTATACGAAATGGCATAATACAAGCTCAAGTGTCTAGAAACTAAATAACTTAGACTGAAATTTAACATTTTGCATTTATCACTTCACATACACTAAACATTTTAATTACTTACACTTTAAAGCAGAATACTTCCCTTATCAGTACCAATGAGTCTCAACAAATAACCTCTAAGTACAGTGAGTAACTTTTAAATATGTAGTCATTGGCTTGTGTCATACTCTGACGGGGAGGTTGTATATCTAGACTCTCTAGTGCTCGCTTCACTGTACATTCTTTGTGTAAGATCTTTTGTTAACAAGCAAAGTTTTGAATTTCAGAAATACCTAAGTTCAAAAAGTGGCTTTCAAGACCTTTGTATAGCCCCCTTTTAAAACCAGATCAGTATAATTCAAAGAATTGTTCAAAGACTTTTTAAAACAAAAGCATATTTCTAGTTTGTCAACTGAAGTTTCTTGGCAGAATAGGCATCTAAAAGACCCTGAAACCCATGTTGAATCTTGAAGTGGAAAAGTTTTGCTGTGTTCAGACTTTAACATATGGCTTAAAGTATGTGCTATGTACCAAGATAATTGTTGTGCAGTTTTCCAGTGGACCTGCCTACAGGAAACTTACTGTAAACTATATAAAATATTAGACACTGTGAAAGTCACTTTAAAAATAAGTGAAGAGGGGCTTTTAGTTATTCTGACAAGTTTTTTTGCCAAATTTCAAATGTGCTACCCACCCAAAAATGGTTTTAGTTTGTTTTATTGTGTGAAAACATTCTGTACCCATTGAAAATGTAACATACACACTCACTGTTAAGGGATTGTGAGTCTTGTGTTCCTGATGAATGCACAGATCTAAAATATCAAAATATACCTGAATCTTAAGTTTTGAATACCCAATGAAAAGAAATACATGTAGTATAAAATAGCTTAGAAGCTTCATGTCATACCTTCAAATTGTATCAAAAAAGAATTAAAATTTTAAGTAAAGCCCAAAGATTGGAGCTGTGTAAAAATATTAAGGCTCATTGGTAAAGGTACTGATAAATTGTCACAGAAAAACACATGGCTTTCTCTAAGTTTGCTAGTGACCCCTGCTGGATTACCTGTTTTCACAATATATGAAAAGTAATCTGCCAACTAGAATGTCCAGTCTGAAGGGAACCCCCAACCAGAATGAAGGTCTCAATGTTAGGTTACACTGTGCCACCTTCTGAAAACCACAGGACTCAGCACTAATTGGGCCTATGGAAAAATAAAATTAAATATAAGTGCCTAGAAGCATTTTGAGGGTCAGTGATTTCAGAAGAGTGAAATGGGTTTACATTTTCCTATCACCACAGAAACATTTCAATTCTACTATACAGAGTCTCCTCTCTCTTACAAAACAAGTTCAACTTGTGTTTTAACCTTTTCCATTTGGGACACAGAAGAAAGCTTAAGTCCATACATGTTCTTTTTTTTAAAAGGCTGCAATCTTGCTTGCTTCTCGAACACCACTCAAATATGCCCCTGTAACAGTTTGTGGGAAATGCCTGTTTGTTGCCTGTGGGGGAAAAAAGAAACTTTAAGATTGTGCATAAAGAAATGATGAATTCAACAGGTCATATGACCTTACACCTTACCTTTTCTGGTATAACTAAAAAAGATGTGTTCATGACAGAGCCTTGAACTTTGGCTTCTTTTACTATGCTTTACCAGACTTCTACAACATGTATCTGAAGTCTCTGCCAAGTACTCTGGCATCCATAGAAATACTATCTGGGATAGTAAAAGTTAAGTACTAGGGAGAAAGTATGAATCACAGAAGCCTCAGAAGTTAGTGTTCAGAAGAACATGAGAATAACTACCCAGGGAAAGCAAAGAGTAAAACCTATCTTGGCCTAAAACTACCACCTCTAGAAGCAAATGGCAAATGCTGCCTGGTATATGGCATTGTGTGCAGCTTGCACAGCTGGCTTAAGATACAACTAGACTCATAACCCCAGATTACAATAGACTGAGTATGACTGCAGGTAGACTTGTAATAGAGCTAGCTGCCTTTATGATGGGACGGAGAACAGGGACTGTCAAAAGGCAAAACAGTTCTACAAAGATTGGGAAATGTCAGCCTCTGGGGCTTGAAGCATAGTGCAGGCTGCTATGCAGGCTGGTCTCCAAAGCACTTAGGTCTAGGGAGCAGAGGATGATGATGTCCCTCCTCTTCAAGCACAAGGATTTACATGTCTATACAGCTTGATATAGTGATTGGCACACCCTTGTTCTCAACTCAAGGAAGGTGGGTCTCTAAAGTGTTTTCTGCCCAGCAAGCATAATCCACTTGGTAAACTCCAGGCCTATGAAACCCTATCTCCGTAAAACAAAACAAAAACCCAAGGTGGACAGCTCCAGGGAAATGGCACACCTCAGGCTGAGCTCTGGCACACATTTACCCCTCCAACATGCCCCTCTTCTCAGAAAAACATAGGCATTCTGTTAAATACAAAGTATCCTTCCTAATTACCACTGAGCCTTCCAGCATCCAAAATGCCAAAAGCAAAGTTACTATAGAAAAGGTTTCCAGGCAGTGCTGTGCTGCTGGAGCTATGAAGGCTTTTCAAATGTGCCTCACAAGCAGCAAGGAAAACAGGAAACCTTTTTCAAAAGCCTAAATAACTAATGAGACAATTGTTGAGTCAGAATGGGATGGCAATAAAAACACTCATTTCAAAGTGGAGAGATTACCTAACATCTCTTCCAAAGTCGAATAAAGAGATATGGTTGGCAATCCAAGAGTTTGAAGGACAGAAGATGTAAGGATAAAAAAAAAAAAAAAATGGGAGAAAGTGATCAGGAATAAATTGCTGGAATGAAAGACTAGTTCTTGAAGGATAAGATTAGAGAAGATTAAGAGTCCACCCAGCAAAAGACCATACTAGAATCTGTCAGTGCACAGTGCAAAGACTGGAGGGTTTCAGATAACAAGCCAGCTAGGAGGGAGATCTGCGTGAATTGTAAATTGGAATTGACTGTAAATTGGAGTTGACTGAAGGGTAGGGGAGACGGGCACCAAAACAGCTATCAAGAAAGCAGAAAGCTGTTTAACAATAGAACCCATGAACACCTTGGCTCAGCAGTAACCATTCCATTGCACATGACAGTTAAAAACACGTACCAACCAAGTGTGTTGGTTCACACCTGGAATCTCTCCAGAGTATGGGGCAGGAGGATTGTTGCAATCCAGCCTAGACTACAG